GTTGTGCTTTGACCATGACATTTTACTCATAGTGTTTTGCTCGTAATGTTTTGGTCGAAATAGCTTATTTGGCAGACAATAGTTATAATCTCGCAAGTATCCGAACGTTCACATAGCGAAGTACCGCCTTAACATCGGTACAGTGGACTGTGAAAAATCGTTCAGCTACTCACGTTGTATTTTCTTTCTTGTTCTGTGTGCATGCATCGAACTACGCTACGAGGTGAAAGAAGTGCAAACACGAATAAATAAGGGAAGAGCGATTCATTCATATCAGAAGCCCATTTCTGGGCAGTTACAGTCAGTGAACTCCCATAAAGGGAGAAGGGAGAAGTTACATCGACAAAAGACAGAAGCGGAAACAGAAGAAGGGACAAGGGGACAGCAGAGCAGGGAATCGGAGGGACAGCAGGTCAGGCAAGCTCAAGGTCAGCCTCCGTCGCCGTTGTAGCAGGGGCAGGGGTAGAAACTTCAGCAGTGTTAGCTTCCACCGGAGTAACTTCATCGGCAGCAGGAGGAAGCTCTGGAGCAGCCGACTCAGAGCACGGCTCGGCAGGGAGGGGTGCGGGACCTTCAAGGAAGTGAGGCAGCTCGGCACCTTGCACCTCGGGCTCGTTGTCGAGCTCGATCAGTTCTTTGCTCTGAAGCTCGGAGAACGTGGTGACGTCCTCTTCATTGTCTTCCTTCAGGCGGCCTTGCTGGCGAAGCGAGTCGAGGACCTCCTTCTCGGTCTCGGCACGGTCTTCATCCAAGAGCGTGTCCAGCTGAGACTGATAATACTGCTGCAGTCTCAGGGTCACGGACCTCTCGGTGTCCTCCTGAATTTTCTTGGCCTCCTCGAGCTCCTCCACCAGCGCCGACCTGGCTGCCTCAATTTCCTCCAGTTGTCTACCCAAAGCTTGGGAGACATGCTCCAGCTCGCTGATGCGTACAACAGCGTTCTCCGTCTCTTGCTTGGCCTTCTTTTCGGCCTCCTTTGCTGCTCGTGCCTCGGCTTCGGCCTTTTCCCGAACCTTGGTGGCAGTGCCCAGCCTTACCTCAGCACGAGTCGTTTCAGCCTGGGACTGAGACAGATCGAAGTCCGCCTTGAGTCTCTCTTCAACAAGAGTCCTCTCCAGCGTCTCCGTCCTGTCTCTCCAGTAGTTGATCCCGTCCCGCAGCTGGGTGTGCTTGTCCTGGGTGCGATCACAGAGCTCTTGCACGAGCGCGTTCACCTGCAAAGGGATGTCTGGGCGTTAGCACAACGAGGAGTAGTATTTCAAACAGTTGAGGTAGGAGACGAGAGAAGGAGAAGCTCACTGTGGCCACGGACTGGCAGGCAGCGTAGGACAGATCGGCCAAGTGGAGTTGGCCAACCTCAGCGACGTCCCGGGGGAGCCTCATCGCATAAGTCAGAGCTCGGGCGGCCGTCTTAGAGCTCTTCGCCGATTCATTCACGGTCGGCACGCCGAACCGAGTGAAGTCGGGTGACCAGGCCGGAGCGGAAGCCGGCAGCATACTGGCCGGGAGACTCGTTGTGCCAGCCTCCGTTGCTGCCAAGGCAATGACAGCGGAGCTCGTGCTGGCTGGGGCAGCAGAAGCTCGAGAAGGGACAGGCGCCGAGCTAACCTCGGGCACAGCCGTTGTCGCCTCGGCTCCTGGGTTTGTTGGAGGAGTGGCAAGAGGAGAAGGGGGAGCGGCAATGACCACGACCTCTTTTTCGAGGCGTTTGTCCGCCTTGGCCTTCTTCCTGGCCTCGTGTTCGGCCGGGGCGGCCATCTTTCTCTTCGGGTCAGCAGGCGCTGTACCCTTGGAAGGTTGGTTCTTCTTCTTCTTCGGCAGCGGTGGCGGTGGAGGTGGCTGAACTGCAGGACGAGCAGACCTGGGCTTCCTGCTTAGCGGTGGTGGGTTCGAGTCGGCCATTTCTTCTTCTTCTTCTTCAGGGAGGTGAGGGAACGGTGAAGGTACAGAGGGGGAGGCGCCCTGTTGCTGTTGTTGTGGTTGTTGTTGAGTAGTTGCTGGGTTACTGGAGGAGCCCCGCCTGACGAGCTCGAGTGGTTTCCACCTAATGTATTCCCCGCCTCGAGCACGGCGGATACCAGTAAGAAGTTCTTGTTCCTCTGAGGTCAACTTCTTGTATGGAAATTTCTTTGGGTCCACTGCACACAAGAGAAAACAAAGTGAGTACAACGAGGAAGTTAGCAGGACGAGAAGATACAGTGTACAACGAGAACGTAGTCAGGACAATGGCGCACAACGGACAACGGATGACTAGTAGTATACCTGCTTCCACTCGGAAGACGTTGGGGACCGAGGAATTCTCTGCCTTCCAGCCGCCAGAGACGACGAATGGAGTGGCTTTCCATTTCCTTTCTCTGTCAAGGATGCCCGAGACGAGCTCTGGACAGTAGGGTTTCTTGTTCCACGAGAAATAGGAATACAGACCGTCGTCATTGCCTCGGCATCTGACGGCATGACAGAAGTGGAATAGATGCCTAGCCTCTATGGGGTACCCGTCCTTGATGAATTTGATCATCATGGACATGTATTTGTGGAAGCCCGGGTGCATTTGCCCCGGTGCAAGTTGCAAGGTGGACAGAACTTCATCCAAGACAGGATGAAGAGGGAAGCGAAGGCCAGCCTCAAGCTGGGAGAGGTAGACAACGGTACAGGCGGAGCGCCTGTCTATGATGGCATCATCTCGCATGAAATGGAGATTGACATCGGCAGGGAAGTCGAAACGTTCCCTGTAACGATTCAGATGCGCCAACTGGAATTGGCGCAGAACTGAAGATTTTTCAATGTAGGCACCATGAGGTGCGCTACCTGTGCAACTGGCCTCGTCATCAGAAGGGCCTCTAACTTCCTCCATCCTAGCAGGTTCTACGGGGACATTGGCAGCCATGGTGGAAAGAAGAAGTCGGGAAGAGAGCAAGAACAAAGGGTATGCGCAGAGTAAAACCACACTGGGAGCCGAAGAAGAAAAGAAATGGAAAAACAGTAAGAGAGAATAAGAGATAGGGATGAAGGGCGTACCGAACCAAAGAACTCAGGGAGATCGTTGAAGAGCTTGAAGAGGATGAACTTTCGGGCAAGAAGAAGATTCGACAGAGTAACAGTGCTTGATGAAACAGGGTGGGAGAGAGAGAGGATTCGATGGGATTTTATAGACGTCTCTGGTTTGCGAAAGTACACCATTACCCTTCATCTGAGGCGTACACCTGTATCTACAGAATTAAGAGCAGTGGCAAGATCGTCTTTTCACCGAGTATGATAACCGTCAGGGTCATTAAAGCATTCTCGAAATTTAAATCGGTGATGATGACAGCCTGTCCGCATTGAAGAGACGCGACGGTTCGCACGCGTGGCCAGCTGGCGTGAACGGTCGACCTTCTCAATAAGCGTTTAAAGCACGCAACGTTTCGCCTTCCGGAGTGGTGCCAGGTATGATCTTTTTGTTCGTTTATGACGCTTCGAACTACGTTCCAAGC